TCGTGAAGATGGCCCAACCTGTTGCCATGGCACCCGAGTGCCGACAACATCCGGGGCCAGACTCTTCGGCTCGGTCAGTCTGAGGTCGGGCCGGTTCCAGATCTCCTCTGGTCGGCTGGTGCGATTACCGGCTTTTGATGCAGCAAATGTGTTTGTCGGCTTGTCGTCTTCACGACTGATCTCGTTGTTGGGGCCAGTGATGAGTCGGTGCGTCGAGCCGGACGTCGACTGGCCCGAGTCGCTGGCCAGCAGGAGAGGTGTACATGAAGTGTTGAGGTTGCGTCGACGCAGAAATCTGCTCATTGGTTGTAGAGGCTTGACGGGACTAGCCGGTTGTGGAAATGGAACTCGCTGTGAGCGAGAGTGTTGGTGCTGTGAAGCGGGACCGGGCAGAGGCAGGTGGCGTCGGGAGTCAGAGAAAGACGGCGGTTTTACGCCTTGAATGCGTTGTTTGTGCGCCGGAGGAGAGGGTGGACGTGTCTCTGTGGCAGTGTCTGGAGGCAGATGGTGCTCGAGACCGGTTGCTAGAGCGGCCGTGAAACTGGGCAGCTCGGATGAGGCTGTGTCTTCGTGATGGCCGGGATTGAGACAGTCGAGCCTGTGAGTCGGACCGAGATGTGGTAAGACTGGACTGCCTCTGACCGAGAGAGCAACATGTCGCCAGGCCGGAGTGGTGGAGAGTGAGGTTTGTCCAGTGGGAAAATCTGGTGGCGGCGTCCTTTGCCCCAGTGCCACGGCAACACGAGACGAGGAGATGTCATGGCCGACGAGGGAGCTGCCAAAATGATTCGGTCCGTCGAGGTCGAGAAGGAGGCCGGTGAAGAGTCCGGCGGATGCCAGGGGACCGCCCTCGTGGAAGCTGGAACTGGCACAAAGACGGTCATTGGCCCTACTGCCTAGGGTCCCCATGTAGCCGGAACGGGCTGTCGGCCCGAGGCAACTGTCCGGCGGGCCGAGGCGGGTCTCAAACAGCGCCGGTTGTGACGAGAGGCCCGGCTGTGAGTGCATCAGCGCACTTCGACACAGACGAGCCGGACGCCCGGGCAATTGACCCGAAATTTTGTCCAGTTGACACGGCGCTCGCAGCCTCAACAACCTAATGGCGGCCGCCGCCGTCTCGGCTTCGGCTGACGACAATCGTTTCGGCCGAGCTGGCAGGGCCGGCGGGGATGAGTTCGTTACCACTGTCGCCATCGCCTTCACTTTCGCCGTCGCCGTCGTCGTCGATGTCGAAGCCTGGCTCGGCTTCAGAAATTTCGACGCGTCGGGCTTGCGACGGCGCTTGAGG